TTTTATAAATTATATTGGGTTGGGGGAAAATTTTTCAAATTATTATCAGCTTGGACGCTTGAGAATTTTTTAATTAATAACTATGGATCAGACATTCACCTAAAACAAATTTTTTTTTGCAAACCTGGGCTCGGCCTGATCAAAAAACCAAGGCTTTTATTTTATTCCAGTTCTCAACTACCAAAATTATTATGATCTTTGGTTGGGGTTGGGGAAATTTTTAAAAATTATATGGCCTTGGACCTTGCTTGGGAATTTTTTCAATAATAAATATTAGGCATAGGTGATCAGTAATATTTTAACAAATAATATATGGGTAGGGGAGACCGGGGTACATTGAGTACAGGGGAACGTTAGGACATTCTAATTATAATTTGAGCTATTATTTTATAAGACTGGAAATTTGAGCCTAAAATAGATAATTTTGTCATACATGATTGGCTAAAAAAGATTTAAAAAATATTTAGTATTTTAATTTTTACAGAAGAAAATGTGTTTTGGCATACCAAAAGTAATAAAAAATATTTGCAAACTTTATCGTTTATATTTATAAATAAACCTTCAAAAATCATGATAAATAGATTTTAGGAAAGCCTAAACCCTCTTTTCCAATCTGGCATACTTTCAGAATCAATAAACATGAATTAATATGATTTTGGATGATATTTATAAAGTTAGTGGGCTCGGTCATAGTTGGTCATAGTATAGTTGGGACACGCCATTTTAGCTCATTTTATAAACAATTTTATAATTTTATTATTAATTTAGTATTGTGAATAATAAATAATTAAAGACTTATCTTTCACTATGTTAAAGATTAAAAAAAAAATTTTTTTACATTTTTTTCTTTACAATTTTTTTTTCGTCAAAATAAATTTCCTAAATTTTGCTAAAATTTTTTTTATATAGTTATTGATTATGAATTATAATATTATCAATATAATCATATGTGTCATAGACTCTAGTCTTACTGGATTACTGATTTTAAATTTTTAAATTTATTTAGACCTCTATTTCACGAGTGTCCCAATTATCACATATGTGTGTCCCAACGTACACAGAGTCTGTCATAGTTGGGACAAAAAGTTTTTTTTTTTAAATTCAATTTTCTAAAAAAATATAATCTTCATAAAATATATATTAATTATTTCAAATAGCCAATACTTTTGGGATTCAGAAGATATTTTAATTATTCAAATTAGTCTACTAATATTAAAATTATTAAGGTTTGAACGAAAAGTGTCCCAACCATCCCCGGTCTCCCCTATCAAGTAAAAGTTATAAATATATTTTGACTCAAAACATAGCATTTACACTTAGTTTTAAAGGAATTAAGAATATCTTATCGCTTTCTGCCTGAACGTGGTAGGAGGAAGGCATAGCCTTCAGACGACCATTGGAGGCTAAAAAATTTCCCGTGATAATATAGGATTATCGTTTCCTCGACTGGTTTTAAAAGTCAACGAAGGAGGTTGTTGCCAGTAAGGACATCCAATCGTAAATACTTGCCACATTACCTTCTATGAACAGTGCATCTACATTAACAGGGGGTAAAGGGTGGACATTGGCTTTTTTGAAAGTTGTAGGTAAATTTATTGGGGGGGGGGGGTGAATTCTAATTAAATTTTTAGATAAAATAGGCAAAATATATTGATGCAAAAATAAATTTAATACCTTCATTAAAGGCCTATTATAATATACATATATTGCTAAAATCGCCAAATCTACATATTGCATACAACAATCATATAGTCATAATTTTTAATGTAAAATTTATTTCTAGAAAATTTTCCGCTAGATTGTAATTTATTAATTTATATTCATGCCAAACAATACAATTTAATAATCCATCAAAAAAATAATTCTTTAACATTCACCATTTTTTAATAGCCGGCAGTAAAATATTGATAATTTAAGTTATTCTTTTTAAAATATATGAAGGGATTACCAAAAATTTGCAATTAATGACGTGGGAATTAGAAGTCTGAAATAACCCGCCCACTCGTTGTTTAGAAATTTTTTAACGGGCCCGCCCACTTATAATTTATTTTTAAAAATTTAACTGCCCGTTAACTCATTTATCTATAAATTTTGTTTAACCCGCCGGCCTGTTTAATGTTTAGAAATTATTTTAAGGCTGGTTTGACTTTTTATTCATTGATTTTCATGTTTTTTTAAATTAAATATAAATAACTATTATTTTTAATAGATTGAAGTCTGTTCTGCTCATTTCGCTGAAAAATATTAAAAATTCACCCGCCCACGTCAGTCCGAAGTATGGGCGGGTATGGGCGGGCGGGCTAAAAACCTGCCCAATGCAGATCTCTAATGGGAATATCATCGACAAAATTTTTTAAAGGGTTATGTATAGATTATCAAGAGGGGTTTGTCTCCAGTGAATATTATGTCATGTAGACGCTGTAATCAGTACAACAAAGTTCCCTGTAGGTGCTTTCACTCGTCTACGACAAAAACAAAGATGGAGAACCTCGCCTATCTACAAACGAGAAGAAGTGGTAGATAATGACATGGAAATATAGGGTTGACCATTGACGATGCCTAGGATAGCGTAAAATGGGATTAGAAGGAAAACTGGCTTACTCGAGTGAACCTGAAAAGGACTACTAAACGAAGGAGATATAAGTAGTATATGTCAAAATTGGGAATCTATTGTTTAAACTCAAACCTTTGAAGTTATCTAAAACATTTTTTTAGTGTTGTTAAACAGCTAGATTTGAGCCGATTTTTAAAAACGGCTAACTCACTATTTTAATCAGAAAAAGTATTATCTAAGCCTGGAGATTTCGTTATTAGATGTTCAACCCTTTGTGCCACCTATGATCAAAATCAGGCTTGCATAATATTTTGCCTAATAAAATATTGAGTTCGCCGTTTTTAAAAATAGTCTCAAAATGTGCTGTTTTACAACACTACATTTTTTATTAAGTTTGATATTTTATTATTTGAGATTTTTATTACTAAAATATAATTAGCTTTTATCCTTAAATAAATTTTAGTCTCTCCACTGGTGCTCTGGAAGGTAGTATAGTATGCTATACTTTATAAATAACAATTAAGATGATTTTCAAATATAGTAAGATTTTGACACTCTTTCAAAAAAAATAATCAAGGTTTGAAAGGTAAAATTTGTAACAGAAGTGTTTAAGAAAATAGAATATTAAAATTTTTTCTGGAATTTTTTGGCCAACTATTTTGAAAAAATAAAAATTATCTTGTTATGTTAAAAAATACAAACTTTATTTTTATTTAAGTTTTTATCTTATATATTTATTTTTATTATTTTATCTGATAACTACAATAATTACCAAAAATATATTATTTTCTGCTGCGATATAAAAATACAAGATTCTAAAAAGGTAGCATATAATTTCATTAAAATTTTCAAAAGTTTTAACTTTTCAATCTTTTTAAAAAGATTTTGGACACAGTCTTTTAGTGCGTGACCTAATTGAGCGTTTGCGTTTTGTTATGCTAGACACAATTGATGCATTTCAAATGGTATCGTGGAAATTGATAACAATTTATAAACAATAATAAAAACGCAAAATTGGATTGCTTTTTTTCGAAAATGCTCAATTAGGTCGCACTATTGTAAAGGATTTTCTAAATTGGATAACTGACGAAATATAAATATGTATGTTTATATAATGCCAAACATTGGCTATAATGAAAGTAATTTTAATTAAGATATTAAATAATAATTCGTATACTAAATTTTAATTCCTGAAATTGACAAATATTCATATTCATTACAGAAATAAAGAGAATTTTAATATAAAAATATAGGACTAAATATTTTTAATATAATTTTTAAAAAACGCAAAATAATCAAAATGTATCTAATAGATACAGCTAACTAAATAGAAATATTTTTTATAAAAGGTATAAGGATTACATTACGATATTATGTGTTATATTTTAGCAATTCTGCATATTAAAATAAATTATTGTAAATAAAAAAATGACTAATTGATGTAATTAGGCTATTTTTTTATTCCAAGCTACTAACTTAATTGTAAAAACATATTGAGCAGGGGTTACATGTAGGGTTCAGCCCCGAAAAGACGTCCAATGTTATCTATGGCTGGATAAATTCAAAAATACATGTTAAGAATTCTTTTATGTTATACTTTTTATTGAGTTCTTCTGCCTATTATATAAGCATTTTATAAATATAAAATAAAACTATGTTGATATAATAATTAAAAAATATTGGATATTTTATAGTGTGTAAAAATAACTTTAGAAAAAAATAAAAAAGTAATCCTAGCAATAGGACAGATTTACTTTCAAACATAATCGATTTTTATAATATATAAAAAATCAAAATAAAATAAGTGATATAATGACTAATTTAAGGATCAGAGGTAAGGATGATGTATAATTTATTATGCAGAGTTAAATAAAATTAGAGTAATATAGTAATGTAGTTTATAATCACTAAGTTTGATATAATAGTATTTTTTTTAAAAGAAATAATAATTTTAAAAAAAATTTCTAATTTAGAATAAAATAAATATAATCTAATTCTCTGTAATTTATATTTAAATGTTGTTTATTGAAAGAAAAAATGAAATTATTTTGCATTATATGTTAAAACTGTTTATACATTTTTTTGTAAAATAACAATTTTAGCTAAATGATTTATATTATAAATAATATTGCATTTTATAATATTATTTAAATTTCCGAATAATAAACTTTGTCTATATAGATTTACTAGTTATTCATAAAAATTATTAATAAAAGCACACAAATTTTTAAAAGAAACAATAAAATATTATATAACTTTATATACATTATTATTATATATTATTAATTTGTTATTATAGGATTGTCTATGGTATTAATTATTTTAAATAAATCACATTATTTTCATTTTTACAAAAAAACTTTAAAACCGAACATTTTAAGGATCAAAATTAGTTTTGACTAGATAGCGAATAACAATTTCTTTTTTTTGCACCACACAAAATATTATTATTATTAAAACTTAAGGAATTCGATTAATGTAGGTAATATTTTTCTAACATTATCATTATAGATAAATTGCACAAAGAAGAAGTCAGTTTTAAAATCAAAGAAATTCTTACTAGGTAGAATATATAGATAATTAATTGAATGATAAAAAAAACATTATTATGGATGTTCCCTACATAAGAGAGTATTAGATAATAACGAGAATAAAAAAAATTTACAAATGAGTATCAACGGGGTTTTACATAGTGCGGTATTTGTTTTTCTTCAAAATATGCTTTTAATAAAAAAAATTGACTATATATTGTGCTTAAATTTTTTCCATAAATAATAATAAAAGAATATAATTGCCATTATTTGTTCATAATATGCTTTGTGGAATCTAAAATGCTTCTAGCATTTCGACGAATAATTTTCTGAGACAAACCTTTCCTTCTTTCTTGATTTTGTTCCAAAAATTTCGAGATTCGATGTCCAATTGTCGTAGGTAAGGTAGACAGAGTAAAATCTTAAGCCGATAAATGGAGGGAAAAGGTTATAGTATTGCGTATATATATATATATATCGTTTTTTTCTGGCATGATTTATCCGGAATCATCTTGTGATGATTTGGAATTTTCCAAATTTAAATCATATTAAGGGTGATTTAGATTTTAATAACTTATTTTACCGAAAATATTGCCATATAATTTTGGAAAATTTCGCCATATATTTTCATTGCGTATTTTTTTTAAATTTATATGAAAAATCGGATATACAAAAATTGATATAAATTAAGAGTAGTAAGTTAACGGCAAAATTGTCTAAAATTTATAGGGTACCGTTAGGTACTGCTCCTACATCTGCTAGAATCCGTAATCGGTTATAAAATTTTTCAACTAAAAACCAGGCTCATAAATGATTTAAAATTTAGAGATTCCGAATTCTCATGCAAAAATTCCTGATAAGTTGTTATTTCAGAAAAAAATATTTCATTTTGTTCATTTAAAAAGAAAAATTACATCATGATTACTAACGGTAAATAATCTTAGCACTTGAAATATTTAAAAACAAAAATTTTGTTATATAAATCAATTGTTTTTGACGTCTTAAATCTATCCCACGAGAGAAAAAAAAGAAGTTTTCTTCTAAATTTTATATATGAAATCGAATCGTTTTTTTTGGTAAAGTATTCATTTCTAGTTATCGTAAAAAAGTGGTCCAGAATTGTGTTGTCTCATTGGCTCGTACCCACGCGGAAGAGGAAACAAATCAGCCAAGCCTTGAGGCTTAATCTGATTTTGCTTTCCAATCAATCCACATAGTTGAACCGGTTAGATACTTTTTTTCTAAAATGCGTCTTAGAGAGTTTGGAGTTACTCTCCTTCAAATCAGCTCGAAAGTTGCGATTTATCAATATTAACATAGATGTGAGGATGTATTAAGGATAGATAGTTAAATTTAATTTTTAAAAGCATATTAAACTAAACAATTATATATATATCAACCTAATTTTTTTAAGAATCGACTAATAATTTCTAATCTTATATTAAAGTATTATTTGATAAGTGAGGATTCATATATAATATAATAATATTAAACAAATGATCATACTTTACTAATTCTATATGGATCGGAACACTTTGTGATGAGTGTCACGTGATTCAAGCAGTCCAGCAAATTTTTTCTCAACTTGGAAATGTTAGAGATACCCTGTATCTTGCTCAACCCCTCTATTTAAATTTTGTTTTTGTAATTTAATAAGAAGGAATTATATACAAATTATTAAAAAACATTAGTTTATTAATATTTTTTTTCTTTAAGGTTATTTTTAGGTTCATCAAAATATGAAAGATTAATCCAGTCTTATTTATAAATTTCAGACTCCACAAAAATTAAATTTTATCTAAATAAACCAAATTAATATTTTTCATACCTGTATTACAGACAAGTAATGCTTTGAGCAGTAAAAATTCTTCTACGCTCAGTTTGCAGAGATTAATCTCAAAGATTTTGACAACTTCACTAATGGCGTGCATTAACTCTTGCATAGGAGTTTGACTCCACTCGGATTTGCTTATGGAATAGGTAGGAGAGAAATGAAGTCGCCCGCTGTAAGGCAAGGATCTATGGATAAAACTTAACAGAAGCATCTCATTCCAGGAGTAATGAAAAAGAAGGATTTGATCATTGAGAGAAAGCTTGGAAAAGTCTGAAAATAAGTTATAAAATTTATTATAAGCTGTTATAATAATATTAAATATTTGTTTTATTATTTATAATTTAATTAATATAATATTATCTCTTTCAATTTAATTGCCTATAATCCCGAAAAATTTTTTATTATCCCACCAACAGGTTTTTAATAAACAAACAAAATATGAGATTTAGTATAGTATTATCTCTTTCAATTTAATTGCCCATAACCCCGAAAAATTTATCATTATCCCACAAAAAGGTTTTTTAATGAACAAACAAAATATGAGAGAATTCTGAGGTCCATGTGTAAATAAGTAGAAATTTGTGAATCCATTACTCAGTGTCGTAGCCAGAATTTATCCAAAGAGGGGATTACGAATTTTTTTTTGATTCTCCGGTTGTCATTTTTATTAAGCTCATTTAAAATATTTAGTATCTTTATATAATCTTCTTTAAATTAAGCCGAAGAATGGAAGTGTTAATTCTAAAATCTATGCCATTATTTCGTTTATTAGTGCTTATGTGTGTTATAAGTAGTATAGGAGGCTAGCATAAAGGATAATATTATCAACAAAATTTTGGCCAACTTTACGATTAAAAAGCGACTGAAACCCTTTATTCGGAGAATTTTATCCATATTTAATTCTCATTGCATATTATTCTAATCCGTTTGGTAAACAGTACGAAGAATAATAATTATTTACAAAATTAGAAAAAATTGCCAAAATTAACATCATGCTAGAATATAAAATATAGAAGAACTAGATATCTGATTTGAACATTGTTTGGCACAAGTAATTATAAATTTCTCAATCACTTTTGTGATACCAAAAAAAACAGAATGAAAACTTTGATGTCACGATTAAAGCATGAAGTAAGCCAAGCTTTTAAAAACAGTAATTCTGAAACTTATATCAAACCAGTAGTGCTTAATTATTACATTTTATTGCTTTAGTATGTTTGGTAGATGGCTTATAGTGGAAAATCTTATTGATAAAATAGGAATGAAATTGCCCAATTTGGTATCATTCCAGAACCGAGAATATAGAAGTTCTAAATATCTGGTTTGCTTTAAAATCTAATTAATTAAGCCAGCCATAAAATAACCGATTTATAGACCAAATAAAAACAAGCGAGAATCAGTGCTTCAACCATTTTAGTAGATAGTTTAAAAAAACGCCTATTGGCAAAATAATAAAAAAATTGCCAAGATTGGCATAATGCTAGAACCAAAATTATAGAAGCACTGAAATATGGACTGATGATTATTAATACATATTCGTCAATCAGTTGATATAAAAGCAAAAATAAATAAAAATTAAATAAGCGAAATATATATAAAAAAAATACTATCACCCTGTAGCGTCACTAAAGGGGGAGGCATAGGGGCTCGAACCCCCTGAAAAATTTGAAGAGCCCCTCAAAATTTTGAATTTTTTTTATAACACTAAAATACGAGGTAATTATTTAGGATAATGTTTGCTAAAAAAAGAAGGTAATTTTAAATAATGTTGGCTAAAAAATAAAGGTATAAATTTGAAAATAATTTTTGCCCCTGCTATCATCATTATAAAAAATCAAATTTTATAGTATTTTAAAATATGAGACTGGATGTATCTGGCTTTAGTTTTAATGTTTTATAATTACAAAATTTGACTTTATCATATTTTCCACGGAGGGGGACTCAACCCCGCCCCCTCCCTTGTCTATGCCACCATATTGATATGAATGAGTTAAAACTTTCTAATTCTTTTTGTTAGTTTAGTTAAAAATAAAATTCTCATTCAAATTGAAAGGAGAGTAATATAAGTCAAATATTCAGCCTATGGTCCTCTATGGTTATGAAACCTCGGGTGTAGAAAGAAAGAAAATAATCTTGCGATAATTTAATAAATGATAGGTGCTTGAAGTGAATAGGACGCATGATATAAAAAAAGCACAGATGTTGTGTGAAGATAGTTCCAATCGTCATAAAAGTATGTATTGATGAATAGAAAGATGAGTTGGCCATAAAGAAACAAAAACGTAGTGAAGGGTGAGAGGAAAATCTAAGATAAATTGGGAACATCTAATGGAAAAGGATATTAAAGTCAATATATTGAAAAAACGGTGTTCGGTTAGAAGGCAGTGTAAGATATTGAATGAGCTTACACCAGATTAGGTGATAGATATCTATAAATATTCTCTTTTTATCACAACATTGTTTGACCTCGAATATTAAATATAATAAATATATATTATTTGGAAAAGTGGATCAAAACAAAGATGTACAAATAAATATAAAATTCTTTTTTATCATCTGTAAAAAAAATCGATTTATAGTATATTATGACTTATAAATAAAAAATATTTTATTACATTATCTTGCTATTTTGAAACATGGTTAAAAACTATATTAAAATTAAAAAGTTTTATATGATTTCCCCTACCAATAATATATCTAACTCTTTCTTTATTTCTCCAATCATCCCCTTTTGGTCCCCTATTAGCTTCACGTTTTCCCTCTAATTTATAAATTTTTCTCTAAACTTATATTTTACAATTTAAGCCAAATTTTTACCAGGATGGATTAGTTTGATAAAATATGAAAACTTCATAAAAATCATCTAAATCCTAAACCTGGTAGTTGTTTCGCCCATGTGACCATGGCGACTAATTCAATGTCAGCTAGGGCGCTTATAACGTCCAGGTGATTGTAATGAGATTTAATTTCCCTATCAGTGAGTATTTGAGCTTCGTTGCTGTCGTATAAGTTTTGTGGTTGAATGTTTTTGAGATAGTTTATGAGATTTTGTTCTTTTTTTTTAATGCGTGAGTAATATAAATAAAATAATTTAGAAGTTTAGAATTTTAAATGTTTAAATAAAACTGGAGAAAATCGCAAAATTTTACTTTTCTATGGAATATAAAAATGCAACTGATAAACACAAACTGACATATAGTATACATTTTATAATAATATTTGGTTCAATTTTTATCACAAAAATAATGTGAAAAGAATATATATGTACGAAACAAATAATTTGCCCTAAAACATTTATTAATTTCATATTTCACTATTATACCTATTATTTTTAAATGGCTCGCTTTGAGCCGATTTTAAAAAAAAGGCTAACTCAATATTTTATCAGAAAAATATCACGCAATTTCTCATGGAAGGCACAAAAAGGTTGGACATCTATTAGCGATATCTCGAGGCTTGGGCAATATTTTTCTGGCGATATTGAGTTAGTCATTTTTAAAATTGGCTTAGATTGAGCAGTTTAATAACACTAATTATACGTATGATATGAAAACAAAATAAAACCTTTACCTTCTTGAAAATTCTTTTTATAAGTGAACGATGAATTGTATACATTGGGAAATCCTCTGGCGTATTTTTGTCTCCCACCTCGTACCCGGTCCAAACGTACGCCTGTATAATGTTTAAATAAATCAAATTTAGAGAATGATTATATAAAAATTATGAAACTGTTAAATGTTAAATGTTACTAATTATATAGTAAAGCTTTTGTTATTCATCTAACTTATTAACAGTGTTGCAAGAATACTTTCGGAAACATATAGTTTAGAACTGAACCTTGCATTGGACCTGCTACAGGGTTAGCCAATAGCCCTAAAATTCGTTTTTAGGCGGACCAGATATAGGTTCGTGCAAGGACTCAATAAGCATGATATTGCATAATGTGAGAACGTTCTAATTATTGTACAATAAGCACTATTAAAGCCTCATTTATTTAATTTTAAGATATGTAATTCCCTATTTTCATTGGATTTTAAAAACTAATAGAGCTAGGGATTTTCTGGAGGTTACATAAATATTTTTATATAATATTTGTAGATGTTTGCGCACCTCTTTTTCCCTAATATAAATATCAGAGACCTGCAGTCCCGGCCCGGCTCTAAGCCCGGGTATACGGGCCGTATCGTAATTTAATTTTTTAAAATATTTGAAAAATACCCGGGCGGTATATATTAACTTCTACATAGATAAATGATCTAGTGAAATATACCCATCATTTGTGGGCATAAACGTGGGCTGGAGGGAAGCAAGAGGAAATCCCCACTTCAGAAATATATCATTTTTCTTTGAATATCATTTTAAGCAATAAAAAAAATCCTCTTTAGCCGCCTCTCCACCCTCTGTCATATCTTAAACAAGAAAAAATGTAAAAGTTAATAATTTTTTTAACTATAAAAGTACAACTTTTTGGAAAAAAACATTTATATATAAAAAAGACAGCTTATTTTCTAACATCACTCTTGTTTTAGTAAATTAGAAATTATATTTATAATTGAATGATTTTATATATTTAATATTGATATAATAAAAAATAGATGTATGTTATGTAATATATTGTGAATTACTTTTTAATTGAATGATTTTACATATATATATTTTTTAATTGATATAATAAAATTAATATATATGTATGTTTATAATGTAACTAGCTAATAACCCCGGGTTGAGGGGTAATTAGTTAGTTTGTGTATATGGTACTAAATATTCCTTATTTTAAAATTTAGGAGAAAAAGAGATAAAATTGTTGCAATGTAACCCGTGAGCATTAAGGGTATTAGAAATATCAAAATTTAAATTTGTGATAGGAATCATATTGGGTAAAATTAAAAATAGAGATATGATTTATTTCTTTAATAATTTTTTTTCTTCTTCATTTAGTTTTCTCAAATGTTAAATTTGAGAGAATATAATTTAGAAAGAAAGAAAGAAGAAAGAAAGAAAGAAAGAAAGAAGAGAGAAGAAAGAAAGAAAGAAAGAAAGAAAGAAAGAAAGAAAGAAAGAAAGAAAGAAAGAAAGAAAGAAAGAAAGAAAGAAAGAAAGAAAGAAAGAAAGAAAGAAAGAAAGAAAGAAAGAAAGAAAGAAAGAAAGAAAGAAAGAAAGAAAGAAAGAAAGAAAGAAAGAAAGCAAGAAGGAAAGAAAGAAAGAATAGCTACTTAATATTTATAGAGATACTATCATTATCCTATATATATTTTTCCATGATGGGATTTTGATTTCATGAATTATGAATAAAAACGGAAGAATCAATATAACAATATAATAAATTGGTAACCAACTTCGTACATTTTAAATAAAGATAGTTGTTTTTATTAAAAGTAACCTCCTATCTATAACAATCTTTTCTAGTTATATATAGGCTTAGGAAACCCGGCCGAAGGTCGAGAAAAATCAGGACGATAGCACCCCCCCCCCAAATGGGTCTGGAGGGAGAAGTTCTCCCCCAATTTATTAACTCTCCCCTCCCCTTTAATCCTGGGTAGGCCTATGTTTGTGATGCTTTAGAAATTTCAGAAAAATTCATAACCTCCAAATGTTTTGGATCAAAATTTTAGCCTTTCAAAAAGCTGTTGTCCATGGGATAGGAATAAGGTGCCTTTCAGGGATTTGTCTGTGAAGATGACGAATTACTTGAGTCGAATATAGTTGTTAATTTTAAACTAGAGCCTCAACTAGGATGACATTTAATATGGATGTGGGAAGGTAAATTTTATAAGAACTAAAAATTAACTAACTTATAAAAAAACTGAAAAAATGAGAAGTGGCATTTATATAATTTATTCATATAAATCTTAAATCCAAATCTAAAATTATAGAATTATTTTAAATAAAAAAAGAGAGTTCATAAACAATTATAAAAATAACAGAATTATATATTATATTCCAATATTCATCTTTTTACAAGAATATTTAATAAATGAACAAATTTAATTAAATGAAAATATATAAAACTAAGCATGTAACGGACTTATATTTGATATAATATCTAACCCAAAAACCTACTATCAATTATTTAAAATGGAAAATAAACTCTTCGGTACTTCGTCTGGGTCTGTTAAAATTTATATTATATTATATAAAAACGGTTTACTCTTATCAGTTGAAATTTTCAGTAGTTTCATTTATTTTATATTAGTAATGTGGCAAATATATCTGATGTGAATTTGAAAAAAATTTACTTTTACTGGAAATACATTCCTATATGTGTAAAGTATCTACCATATGATTTAAGGCGTGAATTTTTAAAATACTTTTAATTTATAAAGGGATTTTTCATATAAATTAAAAAAATACACAAAAGCTGGGTAAAACAAAATTGATGTTAGGACACTTTATAAATTCTGAAAGGTAAAATCAGCCTTTTTCAATTCAAAAATTGCACTAGTAGATGATCTATAATTGAGAAATTCCAAAACTTTACGTGAGGGTTCCGGAAATTCCTAACCATATTACCAAATTATGTTAATTTATAAAGGGATTTTTCATATAAAATTTAAAAAAATACACAAAAGCTGGGTAAAACAAAATTGATGTTAGGATAAATTCTGAAAGGTAAAATCAGCTTTTGCACTAGTAAGATGATCTATAATTGAGAAGTTCCAAAACTTTACGTGAGGGTTCCGGACTAACCATATTACCAAATTATGGATTAATAATAATTTATTATTCGTATTTGTACGAATAATAAAATCATTATTCGATTCGATTCGAAAATTATTCTAAAGCTTATAATAAATAGATTATAATTTGCAAAAAATAGTTATAAACAGATGTGGATGTTTTGAAATGACACCTTAACTAAAAAAAAAACTAAACTAATTGTCAATAGCATATTAAAATTTACAGAAAATAAGTGAAATAAAACCCAATAATTTTATAAACTTTATCCAAACGTTGGCCAAAATCACCTTATTTTTAGAATTAGAATTGCTTATAAAAATATCTAAATTCTTTGCTATACATTATTTCTTCAATCTAATATTCCAAATTTTATTAAAATATTCTTTTATAAACATCAAATATCTCTAATAATTTTACAATAATTGTGTAAAATTTTAGGTCTTAAATTTTATTATTATCTGAATAGCTATTTAAAATTTGGGGTAAAATAGAAACTATTGGAGTTTTTTCCACCTGTATAGTGAAGGGTTAAATCAATCTTTTCTTATTTTGACAATTTTATATTAATTTTGTAGTTGTGTATTTTGAAATTTACTACCCAAAAAATCATAACTTAAAATTTTAGCTCTTAGAAAATTATATTTCTTTTTCACAAATATATAAATAAAATTAATTTATCAAACAAAATATAACATGATTTATAAGAGGAAAAAAATAAAGTAAAATGAAATGAAATCCACTAGGAAAATTTAATTTTATTTATTATTTACTTACGATTCGAATATTAACGAAAAAATAAAATATTTAAGAAAAATTATGAATATTAACGAATATTTATAAATAATTTTGAATAATACGAATAATTTCGAATCAAATAATAAAAATTTACTATTGGACAAATACTTTTTCTAAATTTCGAATCGAATAATTGTGATATTCGTATTCGTAAAATACTCGAATCAAATCGAATCCAATTTCGAATAACAAATAATTCGTTTTAGGCGTAGTTGTTAATAAATAGCAGTAGAAATCTACAAGTCGGCCCAAAAGTCGAGGTTAAAAAAATCCGAACCGCGTTAAAAATCCAATTTAAAAAAAACAATTTCGGTCCTTAAACTATTTTAAAAAATTAAATCCTAGGCTGTGTCATCTCCTCAAAGGCTGGAGAAACAAATATCCATAACTATATGTAAATCTAACCTATTCTCTATTCAATATTCATGGTCCAATGCTTGCCATGACCTAAGAGATTATTTATATTTTAAAAGTTTTTTTCAATATTCTTTAAAATAAATGTTTTTTTATTTTTTTGGAAATATATCAATGTTCTTTTTAATAAATTTTTTCTATCTTTTTATTCTTTTTAATAAATTTTTTCTATCTTTTTGTTCTTTTTAATAAATTTTTTCTATATACTTGCTTTTTATCATTTCTTTAAATATTAATTGATTATCTAATAAAATAAAACTAGTGCATGTGATAATCAGTATAATATCTAAAAATAGGTAATATCATGGTTAAATTTTTTACATATTCGCGATAAAAACACATCTAGAAGCTTGAAATTCTAACTTGGCATAAGGTAACTATTTATTGACCAGAGGTGTATATCATAATTATCTATTAAATGATTAAATTTCAAAGGTTTAAAAAAAATAAGATAGAAAAAGTGTCCCTAGGTCCACTATGTCCCGGTCCCACTATATGTATTTAAAATGGGTCCATTTGCCTCCATCAAAATATTCTTCATGTGAAATATAATAGATTTCAAATCGCTATTGGCTTAATTTACGTTTAATGGCTATTTAATTAATTTGAAATAAACTGGCGCTTTCGGCGATTTATCAGGAGGAATTTTGGCAAAAAAATTGTTATATAAAAAACAGGAAAATTTTTTAAATAGTTTATATTTTCAATAATGAAAATATCAGAGTTGTTAAAGTATCTAGATATAAAAATGTGGTATCTGTATCTAGATAGATTTTTGATTAATG